TTAAGGAGAATCGCAAACAGTGCGCCCTGCTACCAGGTACCCCACCGCACATTTTTTTTGCATTCCCCTGAACTAAGGTAAGATTCTAATATCCCCCCCCCCCCACTTTTTATACCGCAGATTTATATCATCATATGTAGACTGTGACTATTTCCACCAAAAAAAGAAAATATCACGCACCAAATGCACTTGCAGTGTTTTAAAGAATGTCATTAAGCGAAGTTATCGGGAAATTTATATAGTGACATTCAGCAGCCATCTGGGAAATTTATATAGTGACACTCAGCGGCCATCTGGGAAATTTATATAGTGACATTCAGCGGCCATCTGGGAAATTTATATAGTAACATTCAGCGGCCATCTGGGAAATTAATATAGTGACATTCAGCGGCCATCTGGGAAATTTATATAGTGACATTCAGTGGCCATCTGGTGGCGTTAAGGACATTGTTACATAAAGAGTTACGTATTTTGATTATGGAATAAGAAAAAATGTGTACTGAAATGGTCACAGCCTGACAGTCTACAGATTGAAAGATTCAAATAAAAGAATGCACCATTTTCAAAGATGAGCACACTACTGACAGGTAAAACATAGTTTTCCAGCAGCTGACCTTTGGTGCACTCCATACTGCCCACGGCGTACAGCACACCGACGGTGGACTTTCTCGGCTTGGTGCGCGGCGACTGGAATGATGATCTTCTCTCTGGCAACAGGTGATACTTGAGTGCTTCCATGATGAGCCCTTGGCATTCTTTGTCATCATGGAACAGCGAGTTGGTCTCTACGTGGTCAGCTATGAACTGCAAGATAAATTTATGCTTTGGTCAGCAACTAAAAGATAAATTTAGGCTTTGGTCAGCAACTAAAAGATAAATTTAGGCTTTGGTCAGCAACTAAAAGATAAATTTAGGCTTTGGTCAGCAACTAAAAGATAAATTTAGGCTTTGGTCAGCAACTAAAAGATAAATTTAGGCTTTGGTCAGCAACTAAAAGATAAATTTAGGCTTTGGTCAGCAACTAAAAGATAAATTTAGGCTTTGGTCAGCAACTAAAAGATAAATTTAGGCTTTGGTCAGCAACTAAAAGATAAATTTAGGCTTTGGTCAGCAACTAAAAGATAAATTTAGGCTTTGGTCAGCAACTAAAAGATAAATTTAGGCTTTGGTCAGCAACTAAAAGATAAATTTAGGCTTTGGTCAGCAACTAAAAGATAAATTTAGGCTTTGGTCAGCAACTAAAAGATAAATTTAGGCTTTGGTCAGCAACTAAAAGATAAATTTAGGCTTTGGTCAGCAACTAAAAGATAAATTTAGGCTTTGGTCAGCAACTAAAAGATAAATTTAGGCTTTGGTCAGCAACTAAAAGATAAATTTAGGCTTTGGTCAGCAACTAAAAGATAAATTTAGGCTTTGGTCAGCAACTAAAAGATAAATTTAGGCTTTGGTCAGCAACTAAAAGATAAATTTAGGCTTTGGTCAGCAACTAAAAGATAAATTTAGGCTTTGGTCAGCAACTAAAAGATAAATTTAGGCTTTGGTCA